TTTTGTGCATGAGCACAGGCGAGAAGTTAATTGCATGGGCTTTACCAATGGTTACTATGCTGTGTGGCAGTTTCCTCCAAGTTTAAAGCCTTCTGTTTAGCAGAGAACCTTCTTAAGAGGGGAAGTTTATAGTGAGGCGAAATAGCAGTGGGCCATCTTACTGGCCTTCCAGTGTTGTCATCCTCCTGCCTCCCCAACCATCTTCTTTTTCTCTTCTTCTGGACAGGGCTTCACTGTGTACCTCTGGCTGGCTTGAAAATCTGTTCACTAAGCAGTCCTCAAAGAGGATTCAAAGAGATCCATCTGGCTCTGTCTCCAAAGTGATGGAATCAAAGGCATGTGTCACCACATCTGGCTCCGATATCTTTTCAAAAATCACTTTCTTTGCTAAAGTCATGGTATTTTATTTCTTAATGTAACTCACAAATACTTGCTGAGATTCCAAAATATTCAGGGTATTGTATTAGTGATTAAAATTACACCCCTCACAGACACCCCTCTGAGACTGGGGTTTTCGTCAAGGGTTAAGTTTCATGTGATAGGTAACAAATGTTTCCATTTTCACTTTATTTTTAAGACAAGATCTCACTGTGTACCCTTTGCAACTCACAGAGATCCTCCTGCCTCTGTCTCCTGAACACTAGGGTTAAAGTCATATGTCACCAAACCTGGTCCACAAAATGGTTCTTAAAAACAGTATCTAACAGGTGTCTATTGCCAACCTTAGCGAAACCCGTCAACAGATGTTTATGATTATGCAAGGATTATGTACACCTGAGTACATAGTGAATCCTAGACACCCAAAAGAAGTCTTAGCACAAGCCTAGATAGAGAGACAGTGGTGGAGCTGGGGTAAGGATGACTTTGGCTTCGGCAAGGGCTTCTGTTAGTTGTCAATCATACACTGAGACAATATGTCAACAGAGAGTGAGGAATCTCCCTATTGTAGACAGATGCAAGACGTGATAAGTTTTGATAGAGGCTCCTCAGGTTCTGGGAATCAGTTCTGCTTATGCCCATGATTGCTACCTAGGAAAAAGTTAAGAGTCTGTGAAATCCAGGAGTTTGAGGTTGAGGTGTCATTGCCCTGGAGTTGTTAGACTCGTACAAGGTTTCCTTAGGCTGTCAAGAAGCTTGCAGCACATGTCTTCCTGGTGAGCTCTTCTGCTTGGTTTCTGAATTTCCTTTCCTCTGGCAACCTGCTTGCATCCTAACCACAAGCTCTCAGCTGCTCACTCTGTCTGTGACACCAAACGAGATCACCACAAAGTGACCCCGAGGACGAAACCCTCTTTCCACAGAAATTCATTGCAGCACCAGCCAAAGGCACTGTCCAAGGTTTTTCTTAAGAAATGCACCCACAAAAACAGCAATCCAGGGATGACAGAAGATCATCTGGCTTACTTAGAATTTTTCCAAGAAGTGTTTTTGGTAACGTTTTGGCTTTATATGAAAAAGGGAGGATTTTATGAGTGTCACCACAGTGTAGAGTGAACCCTAAAGCTGTTTGAATCCTGCCCTTCAAACACAAATGGAGGTCTTCTGTGGAAGTCCCATCTTCATTTCACATTCTGGGAAACTCTCCAAGTTATGGAAAATTGGCATTATTTATTATTATCATTAATTATTATTTTTACATGCAGTCCATTTACTATTCCTATAAAGAAAATTGATCTGGCAGTTAGAGACAGAAGTACAACAATTTTGAAGTTGCTGTGGGCCAGGATAGGAGTTTCATTCTCTCTACTGCTTACCTCAACCTTATTGATTCTCCTGAACCAAGGTCCATAGCAACTCTGAGAATACGTTTGGTTGATAGGCCAACTGGGAGATGACTACATAGATACACTAGTGGGTCCCCCACCCTTAACAATATAAGCTACTTGAAGTGACACAGATTAGAAAATAATGTTTTTGATCTATTTATTTATTTATTTATTTCTGGCATGAGCTTCACTGATGTCTTACTTCGCTCAAGGGCAAAGACTTTGGTCCTTAGATTTTGTTAAGTAACAATTACTGCCTTTGTTTTCATTACTCCACAAAATCTAATTAGAGTAACAGCATTAGAGTTCTGACCTGATAGAATTCTAGCCCAAAAGCAAGAGAACTGCTGTTGGAATGGGTCTCTTTAGCCAGAGAATAGGTTGTGCAATCATTTGGCATTTTTATTTTTCAGAGGTGAAAATAGCTGTAGGCTTTTCTGCTCCCATTTGGAGTCCTTAAGTATCTAGAAGAATTACTGTGTAACACACACACACACACACACACACACACACACACACACACACAATAATTTGAGGTCCAGGCGCCCATGGGGCTTGTTAATTAAGAGAGACTGAGAAAATCTCTCAGTGGGATCAGGCCTTAAGTTTTTCATCTAAAAGGATAGAACCTGAACACAGAGCTCACCTCAAGTGCTTGTTATGACATTAAATCAAACAACCAACCCACCAGAAAGAAAGTTTTGAAGAAACCGAGCTTTCTCTAGGACCAATGTAACCACAGAAATCAACTTGTAAAAAATCTTTAGCGGGTCAAAGATGCTAAGTCATTTGCCAAAGCCCTCATCACCACACTATAAACAAATACTGTGACAATAAACAAAAACCGTTTCCTCTATATTTCATTAAAAATTAACCAAATAATCAAACCAAAGAGTGTTTGTGACAAAGGACAGAAAGAATTTCTGTCACAGCTTCTCAAAGGGATCAGAAAGCAATCTGTGGACATTGCTTGTTGTTTCATGGCATTTTCCTTGGAGGGAGGGCTCTTTACCTCTACAGGGTCAAAAGCAGCAGCTGGAGGACCGGGAAGGGGAATAGACAGCACCTCCGAGGAACCAAGTAAATGCTTTTGAAAAGGACTTTTCTCCCCTCTCCACCAGCATAGCTCCTATTGTGTAGACTTCTTTCCCAGGGTAGTGGCACAGAATAAAAGATTTCAGGCCAGATACATGCTAACTCAAAGATTACCTCACGTTCATGAATTTGTAATGTGGGCAAGTTATATAGGTTTGTTCTATTAGAACTAATAGTCTGGACGGTGGTGACACACACTTTTAATCCCAGCACTCAGGAGGCAGAGGCAGGCAGATCTCTGTGTGTTAGAGGCCAGCCTGCTTGGTCTCAAAGCTACACAGAAAAACCCTGTCTCTAAAAACAAACAGAAAAAAATAAAGGAAGGAAGGGAGGAAGAAAGGAAGGAAGGAAAGAAGGAAGGAAAAAGAGAGCTAATAAACAAGATGAGCAAATGGCATTTTCTAACGTCTTCATCTAATGTTTGATACAGGTGGCTCATTCTTCTGAGACACTAGCCTCCTACCTCAGCTTTCTCTGTTTCTTCTGATGTTTTAGGTAAGAATGAGAGCACAGGGATAAGGTTCATGTGGGGCCAACTGACTAAGGAGGTGGACATAGTGATTCATATACAAATCCCTACTTGTAAGGCCTTTGCTGTCATCTTGGGCAGGCCAGCTAAAAGAAAAAAACCCCCTTTGTTCAGCAATATTTAACTGACCACATTGTACCTTGGCTTGTCTTTACATTAATTGTGTAAATACTGGGAATTGTGGCGGCTTTGCCATTTGTGCCAGATAGCTAACGACATTTTTAAGATAAATGTGAAGTTAGCAGAACCTGGAATTTGAGGGCAAAGAAAGGCTTGTTGCTGTAGATTACTCAATTATTTCTTAAACAACAAGCCTCTCAGACTCCAAGTCAACACTTAGATAGAATGGATTGCTCATGGTTCCTTCTTAAAGCTTCATTCTGCTAAATCCCTTGTATTTAGGCGAGTGGACATTAGTGGGAATGGATGGGATGGTAAACTCCTGAGTTCCCAGAGATGTGGTGGTGTCATTTCATCTTCTGGTTCTCCATTCCCAACAGGGAACATGGTTTGAAGGGCATGAGATGAATGGGGCTGAGTCCTAATCTCAGAATGAACTAAGTTCACTAGGCCATATTTCCTCTTGCTCACTGCCTGTTTCTTTCTTTGCCTCCGTCAAAGAAGTGTGTGGTCTATTGCTTGAGCCTTTTGGTTTTAGTGGCACCCAACTGGCCTCAGGGAGGGCACAACCAGGGGCCAGTGCAGAATCTGTGGTGAGCACTGTTTACCTTGCTGGCTTGGCTCTCTAGATTAGGCTATTCTGTGTGCTCAAGCCTATGACTCACCAGAAAGACAACAGACTAGGAACCAGGCAGAAGTGAGTCCAATTCTGGCTCCGCCTCTGTCCACAGCATCACCATGGTAAACTCAATTTACTTCCATGGTTCTGACTTCCTAATATGTCAAAGGAATGGCCGTGCCTACCCCACATCACTCATTCTCAGCAATAGTCTTCCCCTTGCTAATAGCCAATGTATAGAAAATCCAGATCTGCCCCCCCTGACCTTCCAGTATGAGCTACATGCTAAGCAGAAAGGACAAGGAAGTCCTGGAAGGCAACCTACAGCACTGTGGGTAAATCTAGCCAGTATATTTGAATGCCCTGATGCCGTTGCCGTCTCCAAACCTGCCTCTGTCACGTGCATGTCACAGACACATTCGAGGTTGCAGCTGGAGACACATATAACATTTTGGAGGATATCATCACAAAGTTTAGTTCTTCATCAGTCTCCAAGGTATTCCTGAGAGGTAGCCCAGGCTTTCTCCAAATCACAAGTGGGGTTTAACGTCTGCAATGGTTTCGGTTTCTGCATCTAATTAACTGTCAAGACTGCTAAAAATTCGAACCACAAACTTCACCTGAGGGGATTCACATTGGAGCCGTAAATGATTGACCAAATAAGTAGTACACATCACTTTGTTTAGTGCGTGGCCCAATCTGTTCCCTAAATGGAGTTCAGAAGAATCAGACCTCCCTACCACTAACCACCTGACTAATAATTGTCAGAGGTGGAAATCATTATAAGCCATGTGCCCCTTCTGTAACTAGTGGAGTTACTGTCAGACTGAAGAAGAGTGGTTTTCATTTGATAAAAATTAAGTTTCTCGACTTTCTACCTCCTCCCCATTATTTCTCTATAATCTCGTTCTCTTCGGAGCATTAGTCAACATCTTGTGGGATCATTAGATGATCTTTACCAGGTAGTGACAGATGAGGTTCTCTGCAAAGTCACAGCCTCCTGTCCTTGAGGTGAGACTAGGCATCAGGTCTCTGTGTGAGTCTTGATTGAGTTAATGAATCACTGAGCTGATACGGGCCTTGGGGTGCTTACCACTCTGGAAAGCACTTAATGTTATTTAGGGGTTAACAAAAGCATATGGACTCTGGCTTCAGACCATACCTTCTACACTACCATGTTTGTGTTCTACGGGGACTCAGTTAGACTAGGACTTTGGTGGTCTCCTTTAAAGGTAGGAGACAGCCAGTCAATGATTGACCTGGCTGCCCTGGTGATAAGCTTAGGTAAACACACTTGATTCTGCTCCAGTAGTGTCAGGACGTTTTAACCCCCTAGGCTCCAAAGCAGGAATATGCATGTGGTTTTCTGAGAAAGTCTGTCACTTGGAGTTAACAGCCCTAGAATGGATGGGATATCCCTCAGAAGTATATGCACCGTCCCCTCTGGTAATCTTGTAAGTAGAAAGAAGAAAGCAAGGAAAGTTCTGGAACAAAGAACTATGCTGGAAGAACCACCATCAGTGAGAACTCGTCAATAAATCACAAATACAATATCCTATGATGAAAGATGAAAATGAATCTCAGCAAAGCTTGAAACATGGAACAACCAACAGCTTACAGAGGAGAGAAGATGAAGGAATTACAGCTTGCTTTCCAGAATGCGTTAATGGACAGGTAACTGAATTATCCAGTGACACCCTGATAATCTGCCACCTCTCCTTCAGCAGGCCATTATCCAAGACATCCTAACTATGAGGTGAGGCAAGGCGTTTGATCTGTGATCTTGAGAGAAGGAGCAATGGCTGGGTAGGTTACCTACCTCTGCTGCCGCCTGTCAATCCAGATCTTTTCCCAGCTTTTCCACTTAGCTGAAGAATCTAGGGCTGGGGCAAGAAGCATCAGCACAGGCTTTCACGGCTCCCCATGCAAGAAAGCGATGTGTCCCCATTGTCTCCTTCTTTGTCACAGGCAGCAATGTGATTAAGGTCAGGTGTGGACAGATGTGAAGGAGGGAGTCTGTGTTGGTCTCTGCAGCAGATCTAACCAATCAATACACACCAGGTCTACTCAAATCCAACCAGAGAGCTGGGTGACAGAACCAGAGAGCAGGACGGGGAGGCGGTGGCAGAAAGCAGACAGCGATTAGCTTGTCACTGGGTCTAGGGACAAGAGGCCTTGAGAACAACACGTGAGAAGGAAGAGCTTTCCTCCAGCGCATTTTACCAGCTTCAGGAAGGAATTTGGAGTATCCTTTATTAAACCTCCAATTTAGTAATAGAATTTCTTCTATTGACTATTTTTTTGAGAATCATCTTACAGTTCTTTGAAGAAATGGGTCTGTGTGTACTGAAAATGCAATATATGTTAGACATATTACTATGTATTTTACCACCATTTTATGGTGAAGGAGCAGAAGCTCAATGGGGCGATGGGCACACAATCAGCAGGCAGTGCTAAAACTGGGATTAGAACTAGATCTGCTCTGAAAGCAATGCCAGCAGTAATATTCCCATGACACGGTCTGAAATAGGCTGGCTATTATCTCTGAAGGGTGTCCAGGCCTGGTTCCCAGAACCTGCGAATATGTTACCATACACGGTAAAAATGGACCTTACCATTTTTCAAATGTTCAAAAAAGTGAACATTTGATTATGTTGACTGTATGTGTGCGTGTGAGTGTGGGGTGTGTGTTTCATGTTCCAATTAATTTAATTAGAGTTACTCATAGGATCATGGACAACTTACCAGTGGCTGCACCACTGAAGGAAATGTTTCCCTATCTCCTAGCAGCCACCAAGTGCTTTCTTTAGGAAAATGTGGGGCCTCATAGATAAGGATCTTGAGAAGGGAGATTATTGTAGTTTATTTAAGTGGAATCTTACATAATCATAAGTGGTTAAAATCAGAGACTATGGAATGCCAGAGGCAGAGCCAAATATTAAAAATGCTCTGCCACTAGCATGGAAGGTGAACAAAGAGCCCCTGAGTCAAGGAATGTAGACATGGTCTAGCTGCTGGAAAGACCAAGAAGTGGGTCCTCCTCGAGGACCCTGAGACTGAACCTGCTCTCAATGGCTCGTTTTAAACCTTTGACTTGAGAGCTGCAAGATAATGAATTTGTGTTGTTTTTGTTAAATTAGGGTACAATTTGTGTGGCAAGAGGGGATTGATAGTGCACACCTTGCTTAACAGTAGTGAGTTTGAGACTTCCCCACCAGGGCATGCTCTTATTCAGCCAGTCTCCATTTGCTGAAATGGTAACCACTTGCCCTGGTTATTTCCTATACCCAGGGTGCCTGGGGAGGCAGCTGGGAATGGTGGAAAACACCATGAAGAAACACAAAGCAAGGACTTTAGCTAATCAGGGTTTGCTTGTTTGGTTTCCCGGTGAGAGTATCACCTGACATGAGTATTCTATCACCCCTTCTACAATTCTTACAACTCTTGAAGTTGAAACGTAAACCTGGGCTGGAGAGATGTCTCAGGAGGTAAGAGAGCTGGACTGCTCATTCAGAGGACCCAGGTTTGATCCCCAGCACACACAGCTGCTAACAACCATCTGTAACTCCTGCTCCAGAGGATTCGGTGCCCTCTTTGCACACTGTATGGAGACATACATAAGCAAGATACTCATAACACACAAAACAAACAAACAAAAATCCTGAACTCTAAGTCATGTAACAACTTAAGGACATTAGAGAAATTCATATTAAATTTCCATTTTAACTGGGCAGTGGTGGCACATGCCTTTAATCCCAGCACTCGGGAGGCAGAGGCAGGTGGATCTTTGTGAGTTCAAGGCCAGCCTGGTCTACAGAGCAAGTTCCAGGACTGGCTCCACATTACTGGGAAACCCTGTCTCGAAAAATCAAACAAACAAAAGTTTCCATTTTATAACTCCTCTCCACACTTCCCATGTTACATGACTTCTGGATCCTTCCTTCTAGCTATGTTCCATGGAGAGCTCTGATTTACCTCCTTCTCGGCGAAGTAATATCCAGATGATACAAGGCATCCAAGCCTCCCAGTGTCTACCAGCGAACCTGCTTCCCCTCTTGCTGCAGACCACCTGACTATTCCGTGTGACTCTTCAGATTCAGTACAGTCTTTTCATCTGACTTTTCTGACTTTCCCTCCCAAAAGAGAGGCACTGAGACCGAATGACTTAACTCGAGTCTTAATTCTTTTCAATAGGGAGGATCAAGGTTTTCCAGTGGTAGTCTAAATTAGCCAGACTTATCTGCTTAGCAAAATTTAATACAATTCATTTCACAGCTGCTGGAAGTCAGAGGTTTGTAACTTCTTAGCATCATAGATCATCTTTTTTTAAAGATTTATTTTGTTGTTTTAATGGTACGCATATATACGTGCCTGCGCGTGGGTATGTGCATGTGAATACTGGTGCCCATGGAGGCCAGAGAAGTCAAATTCCTAGGAGACGGAGTCCCAGGTGCCACTGAATCAACCCAACATGAATGCTGGAAAGCAAACTTGGATCCTCCGGAAGAGCAGTTGTAGATCCTTAATCACTGAGCCATCTTTCTAGCCCCAGAAATACAGATGGTCTTTTGAGAATCCAACGAAAGTGATGGACTCTTCTGCCATCAAAGAGCACACATTTAACTACGATCCCTGTGCATTATGTTATCACTCTGCAGCATTTCAGCTCCTCTGCACTATTCTCTGAGGTGTGGTAAGTTCACAAGGCTGGTGACGTTAGCAGAAATCAGACTGCTGTCTTCTCCCTCTGTGCTTCAAAGAGGGGTAAAATGAGGTCTCCTGGGCCTAGACTGAGTGAACACCTAGTGAATACCATGCAAAAAAGTCTTCAGATCCCACAAAAGCTGAGTTCTCAGGCTAAACAAAGAATAGCGTTCAGCGGCCTCCTATGCAATAAGGACTTCGCTTCTCAGTACCGTTCTCTCCAGGATTAATCCCACCCTTCAGATGCTTGGTCCCTTGGGTAAAGCCACCCGACAGCCCAAGCCTTCTATCACATGATGCTCGTGGACAGAAGCCCACTCTTCTCCGCTCCTCCCAGCTCCATGTTATCCCAACTGTAGCCAGCTGTGAAAACACACTGGTCTGACACGTGCCCAGGCCATTCTGGGTGAGGTCCGAAGCACACAGCCACTGTCCCTAGATTGCAACATCTCACCCTCTGTGAGACTGAAAGATTTCAAGTCTTAAAAATAATAACATACCTTTGGTCACAGGGAACATATTTGCAGAGGGGAAAACAAAAACAAGCTGCTGGTTGAAAGAATTCCTTTTGGAGGAAAAATGTTACACTTAAACTAAAATATCGAGGACTTTCAGGCATCTTCACCGCAGTAATTCACAGAAAGGGAATCATTTTCAAAGGTGAAGGAGTGGGATTTGCACTCTGCCTTCAATATTTACCCAGTGTGGTCATGGATGTGACTGACACAAAGACCTTTTCCTCCCTCTGTATGAACTGTTCCAGATGTGGAAGATGGACAGAAAACATCAAGTTCCCGTCTGACAAAAAGAAGAACTGGTTTTTCTATCTCACATAGTAGTCCACATATGTATTTATTGGGCAAAGAGCATCTAAGAAAGAGCACGACCTATCTCAGTCCTAGGGTAGAATGTGTGGCAACATCAGCTTGGCCCACCCAAAGAAACCTAGAAAGAGTCAGAAATGGAGGTTATTCCTCCAGTTTCTCCACAATGTGCTCTTTAACAAGCTTACATCTATCTTGAAAGCAAAATTTCTAGTTTTATTGAAAACCTACTTTTACAAAGAAAGGGCAACCACAAAATAAATACAATGCAAGCAAAATTGTATAGACCATCAGCTGGATGGTGCTGCCTCTTTCTTTGTAGAAGTTAAAACGTTTCCTCACAGTGTTGAAACCTGGCATTTTGTACAACTCACACATTATACATGAATACAAGTTTTCAAAAAAAAAAAAAAAAACCAGTGGGAATCCCTGATCGCGGTGCACATGACAGGAGGTCAGAGCTGGTGGGGCAGGTTTTCTAAAGCAACACCTAAATACAGGCAGAGAAATCCCACTTCGGCATTGTTCTTAAACTGCAGAGGTAGCTTCAACAGACACATCATCAATCCTAATTACTTGCTCTAACATTTGGTTTTGTCAAGAGGCATTACTACTCAAACTAAATTTGGTCTCTGCTAAATTCATAAAAAGGATTTTAATAACAACTCATTATTTTGGAAACTTATAAGGCAAAAGAAAGAATGGGGAGTGGGTTGAAGGGAATGAAGTAGGCCTAGATAGCCCATTAAAAGTAATTAAAAGAAGATGGATACTGTGACCTCCATTGCAGCAGAAACAACAGATTCCTCTTATTTATTCATGGTATGCGTGGCTAGGTCACTGCTGAGTATTTTTGCATTCAGCAATTATTCAAATTAGAGTGAGCCAGGGATGGTGATGAAGTGAGACTCTGGATGTCACTAAAGACTCTGCTAACTTTAACAGAAATAATTGAAGTGCTAGTGGGAAGCTTGAAGGAGCCTGGTCGACATGGCTGTGTACACATTCCACACTCGGTCTTCTTGATATAGACTCTTCAGCTCTTTAAAACAGAGGTAGACGTAGGTCAGTAAGAACACGCTCATTCAAAGCAAGGAATCACGACTATTAAAGATTCATGTTTATTGCTAAGATTAAACCTTGATAAGGGGCTCAAATCCAACACAAGGAAATGCATCATATGATCAGAACTATTAACACTTTTTTTCACAGTTAAAATGAGGTATTGTGGCATCACAATATTTTAGGATGATTCATGAGATTTAATCCAGGTCACAGGAAAGAAGAAAGAGATATAATTGAACAATTACTTCCTAAAGGGAAAGAAGCCAAGTGAAATATGTATGAAGGTGACAAATCACAAATACATTTCAGAGTATCAAGCAGCATATATGCACAATTTTATCCCTAACCTTAAAATTGGTAATATTGATTATTATTTCTTAAGTTTAGCAAACCACATGCGTTGCAGTGTAAATCAAGTAGCAGAAGATAAAACACAGTCTCCATTACAGCATTTATCAGATACATGAATTATCTGAACTGACCAAGACTTATTTTTACTATGACAATTTCTGTAATTTTAAATTACTGATCGGGAGGGGCTAAGTATTACAGTTGGTATATTCACAATACAAATAATGCATACACAACCTGTAATTCATACTTATGAATACTGGGGTAATAATTAGTAGCAGCAAGGTAATATTATTTCTAAAATCTGATCTAAGATTTATCATCTTGATCCTATAGATCAGTAACTGACATGTCCTTAGTGCTATAAACTGAAACCAGGTGTGACATTGCAACTGTACAGAGCTGCCAAAGGCCTATGTGACTTTTCAAAGTGCTGTGCTTTGTCGTGGGCTTAGCACTGAGAACAAGCCTGTGCTATCTGAATTAAGTATTGGTCCCAACTTCAGGGCTCCAGTTAAGCATAGTTCTATGGACTGGGTGGGAGCAGGAGGCAGAAGGATGCATTTGAGAAAGCTAAAAACCAGCTAGCTACCACTGCAGTCAGAGCAAACCTTCTGTCAGCCTCTTGTGATGACGTCATTGGCAGATGATGGGAATGCTGGGAGATAGGAGGAAGTAGCACTCTATGGAGGGATTGGGAGTGACAGAGAATGCCTCTAGACTGTTAATGAAGTTCTCAAAAGCCATGTCTCTGAATTCCCCCAAAGAAGGGGGGAATTAATTTATTCAAACCATTTTGTTCTAAAATGGGTTCGATAAATCCTAAGAACAAGTTTGCTGGAGTGGAGGCTGAAACATGGTATCTAAAGCAGAATATCCTAATCTCAGAATATTTTTTAACAGTGCCTAAAACTTTTCTCTTTTTTTTTTAAAAAAAAAAAAACAAAAACATTAGCATCACTGTAGGGTTGCTTCCGAGTTAGGATAGCTCAGACATATGGCCATTAATGCCAGGGTTTGTAGCAGGAAGTTGGGGAATCCAAAGGTTGTGGAAATAGGTCTCCCGGGGCAGTAAAGAGCTGATTAGGACCATCTGGAATTAAGGGGAAGTTTATGTCAACACTTCTTGTTATTCAGCCATTTCGCTCTCCTGTGTCCCAAGGTGACTATTGTGTCATGAAACTGTGGTACCGCCTACAGGAAGCATCTGCGGATGAGGGTTAAGATGCACTAGAAGATGATGGGATCTAGAGGGACATCCATGCTCTTCTATGCTGTACCAAATGAGCTTCTTGTCAGCTTTAATATTTGATACAGTGTCTATTGTTTCCTGCTGACATGTTGAGAAAGCCCACCTGTCAGGGGCCAATATACATTTTGGCATATTTCTTTGAGCCCCACACATTATTTAGACTCCAGAAAGTATAATACATAGTCAAGTTCAATCAGCCTGTACCACACTCTTGGACAATGACCCCAACTATATTCTCTGCACATGTGTACAGAGGGAAGAATGAATCATTGCAAAGGTACAGCCCAGAGTGCAGGCATCTAAGCCCTAGGACTTTATATACATCATGAATCAGTCAACTGAGATTGGCAGCGTTATTAAAGATGAGAGAACCAAGGACAGGTTAACCTCGGGTCAGTTGCTCAGCTAAGGGAAGAGACCACGTGACTGTGACCCTTTCATTCTACTGTTCCGCTTCCCAGAACTTAATAGACAGTCATGTACATCATAAAAATCTGTAATGACGTCACTTTGTAGCCCTTTTGCTTCTCGGCGAAAGCAGCAACCTTTCCTACCTTTCACTGTGTGCTAATGACTGGGTTACATCATGTTTCTTTGGGATTGCTTCCTACTGGTAAGACTGAAAAAAAATCCACATGGCTATCCTGACACATCAGAAAGCTCCATTTCACCTCAGAATGCTGCATTTCATTGCTTTCTTGGATAGAAACATAAATTTTCAGATGTGAACATGAAGTTATGAAAGACCTGAGATTCTTAATGTTTGTCATTACCCCTGCTCAGATCTTGTGCTTTTCTTTGCATGTATATAAAATCCTGGGTTTGAATTCTAGATTAACTGTTCTAAAAAAAATTCAGGGGTCTAGACCTGGCAATAAAGGAAATGATGAGTATCAAATAGCAAGCAGCAAATACAAGGAATTTTTTTTGCATGACTTCTAAGGCTGTCATGAAATCAGACCAAATCCTCAACACTCATCAGTTCCTTCTGTCAGATCCACCCTGAGCTGTCTGTTCAGTCCTGAGAACATTGTCTCTATCCATAGCATACAAGGGACTTTCAATAGGTTTAGGCTTTGAGACAGTTTCAAGCCACAGAAACCTAAAAAGGTCTGGGCCATGAAGGAAATAAGGCTGTCTTGGGATGGTGCGGAGAACTCATGAAGAACTCGGTAAAATTTCCAGATAGGAATGGGCCCAGATTTTAAGTTAGTAAAGCAGCATTCTAGTTGCTCTTGAAATCAATTCTGAATCATTTTGAGAGCCTTATTTTGATCTGAATGATTCCCAGGATTTTCAAGAACATGTCATATGTTTGGGTCGGAATTCTTACTGGTGAATATTGCAGAGTGAGACACGGGGCCTATATTCTATTGCTATTCTGTCCAGCTCACCCGAGTTTCTGCCTGGCCGTCAAGGAACAGAATACATGCTACAGCCTTTACAGCATATAAGAAGCTTTCGTCTCAGGGCAGAGACTGGAGTACTTCCTAGGGAAGATTGTGAATAAGCCTCTCCCTACTACCTCTCAGACTTTCCCATATCAACAAGGCCGAGCCCCTAAAGCAGTATGGAGGAGCTTGGACGTGCACACACTACAAGAGCAGGAGGCCTGTGCACATGGCCTTGGAAGTGTGCTGTGCTTCTGTGTTATGCTTCATGGTGCAGCATGCAAACACGGAGGTGCACTTGAACGTCAGAAGTGAAGTACAACTATGTATGTCAGAACCGAGGCAACGGATGAAGTAAAAAATTCACTGAACAGTCGACAGCCTTAAAGTGAAACATGTATCCAGGGCAGATAGATACCTGCTGTCACACCGAGCCACATAGCACCAAGCACCTGGGCAAAACTGAGGCTCCAATAACACAGAGCAGAATGCCTCTTCCTCGTGCCTTCTTATCTCTTTGCTAAGTAACAAAGGGTTAATGGATGGAGAATGATCTAGTCCCAAGTAACTGACTGAGAATTCAAACCAAACCAAATAAACGAAATGCAATAATTAAAAACAAAACTAAAAACCCGAGACAAGGCCAAGGTTTTCTGAGCTTCTCTGAGGATCTCTATCATAATTGGAGGAAAATTAAGATGATGAGGGTGCACACTCCTATGACATGAAGAAGCCCTGTGCAGGCTCCATAAAATTTGACAAGATCATTCTGGAAACCTCCTCTTGGGGGGATTAGTATGCAAGAACAGGAGAAGTTAAAGCAGATATTCCCAGAGGCGTTTGTGCTGTGGCCTCCATGAACTATGGAGTTTAAAAAGTCAAGGCCTAAATTACTTTAGAAAGAAAAAA